CCCCCCCCCCCCCCCCCCCCCCCCCCCCCCCCCGGCCCTGCTGTCCCTGCTTCCCTTGCCTTCCAGGGGGTGGGCGGGCCAGGCCCAGCCCGGGAATGCACTCTGATTCCTGGTTGAGCAATGTCACTGTGGCCGGGGGACAGTGGGGGGAGAGGCAGGCGCCCACAGCCCTCCCCACCCCATGAGGCAGCTCTGGTTACAGGCCTGCGGGATGGCCCGCCCCAGCCTCTCCTGCCCAGGCTGCCCAGGGACTTGGGTGGAGGGTGGTGTGGGCACAAGGGTCCTATCTGCGTTCCTCACACAGACGTCCTAAAGTCCTCGGCATCTGAAGCAAACTGGGAAGCCAAGACCCCACCTGGTCACTCCTGGTGACTGACTAGGCCGCAGCTGAGCGGCGACTTGAACTCAGCTCCTGAGTGACCTCGCCTTGGGGCTCCCCTCCCGCTGTCTCTGCACCCTGAACACCCAGTGTCTGGCTCTGGCGGTGCTGAGGGGCACTGCTGCTGGCCAGGGCCCTGCCAAGAGGGCTGCCATTGCTGACCCCCCTTGCCTCTCTGCCCCTGACCTGGGGGCGGGGGCCAGGCGGGCCTCAGCCCTGCTGGCCTGGCTTTGTTGGGACCCAGGGGGCAGCCCTGGGGGCCCTGGGAATGCTGCCTCCCAGCTCCCCTGGGGACAGTGGACTCCACGTCCTCAAGCACTTGGGGTGGAGTAGCTCTGGTGTTTGTGGGTGGGGAAGGGGCTGTTGGCACATTCCAGGCTTGCAGGAGGTGGGCCTTGGCAGCAAGGAAGGAGTTAAGAGCTGAGGCTGGCTCCTCTCGAGGGGAAAACTCCCCATGAACACGCTGCTTCTTGGCATCCTGCCGGAGCTGAGAGCAGGAGCTGGAAACTGGAAGTTCAGACATGTGGCCAGTCCTGCCTCCGTAACGGGCGCTCGCGGGGGACAGCGCTCCGATCACTGCTAGCCCGCCGCCTGCACACCCACGTGTCTGCCAGGTTGCGTGCTCTTCACCTGTAACCCATCTGTCTGTCCAGCATCGGTAATCCCGTCTCTGTCCAGTTGTCTGACCATCTTCTCTTACTCTCCTCTGTCCAGCAATCTGGCCCATCGGTCCTTTGCTTGTCTCCTGCTCCGTCTGTCTGTCTGTCTGTCCAGTCGTCTGTGAGTCACCGCACACCGTCTTGTGCACTGATCCTGCCTCCTGGACCCACCCGGTGGCAGCCATGGCCCGGAGCCGTGGGGTGGTGGTCGGTGCGGTCCTGCTGGGGCTGGGGCTGGCCCTGGCCGTCCTTGTGCCTGCTGTGCTCATCTCTCGCCACCAGGCCCGCTGCGGCCCCGCTGCCTTTGCCCACGCTGCAGTTGCCAGCGACTCCAAGGTCTGCTCAGATATTGGACGGTGAGTAAGAGGTGGGTGGGAGCTGGTGGTCCTCGGCAGCTGGGCCCTCCCGGGACTTCGTGACCGGTGTGGAGAGTGCGGAGGAGGTGCATGTGTGCGTGTGCATGTGAGCACCACGTGGGTTTGGGCTCCAGCAAGGAAGCAGCCCCAGGGCCCTTGCACAAAACAGGCAACAGGTGTGTGCATGGGGCAGACTGGGGTTTGGGGTGAGGACTGTGTGGGCTGAACAGAGGTGGTGTGTGTCCGGGAGTAGCTCCAGAGCTCAGGAGGCCCAGAGAGGGCACTGCCGCAATGTCACCAGTCTGGCCTCCACTGCCCCTGATGGGCAATGCTAACCCCTTCAGAGGGGCCTGTCAATTCTCTAAGGCTGGGGTCTTCAACCAGAGGCCTGGGCAAGGGGGTTCAGGGGCTCTGAATGGGAGTCCCAGCCTGCCAGGGTGTACTTAGTGCTGCCTGAGACCCGTCTCCTACTTTGGCCCCTGCCTGGGCTGAGTCCCAACTTCTCCCCAACCCACCAGCTCCCCGGAGCCTGTGTCAGGGCCTGGGGCCAGCAGTGGGCAGAGTGACTGATGTCTGGCCGGTCAGAGCGAGGAGGGGTGGTTGAGGTGGGCCCCAGTTGGCATTTCCTGGCCCTCTTCCAGGAAGCCCAGCCCACGGGAAGCTTCCCGGGCTGCTGGGCGGCACGTGGCGGGACGCCTCTGCCCCCTCCCCGCCTGGGCTTGTAGGAGCCTGAGCAAGCACCCCGCCTTTGCTGCCAGCCTGGTCTGCTTCCTGGAGTATCTGCCTCACTGACTGTCAGAATCAGAAATGCTGCCGAAGGGATCGGTCCCAGAGCAGGGGCAGTGTGGCCCCCCAGGGGCCGCTGGGCACCCGGTATCCCAGGCCCCTCACTGGGGCTTCCGCCTCCTGCGGGCTCTCCTGTTCCCGTCGGTCCTCTTTCTGTTCATTCTTCCTCCCTGCGTCTGCGAGCCTCTCCTTCCGGGACCCCTTCCCGACCTCGTTCCCTGGGCTGTTGCAGGGCTTCCTGCCCCTCCCTCCGGGCTCCTAGGATGGCAGTGGCCGACATGGCAGCCCAGGGACAGGTGGGGGGCTGGGGCTGGAGGACGGGTGGGTGAGCCCGCCCCTACCCCATGCCCTGGAGAACATGCAGAGGTGAGGGGTCAACCTGAACCCACAGTTGCAAAGATGTAAACAGGGCTGGGGGCTTCTGGCCCCAGAGACCAGAGGGGGACATGGACCCCGGAGCGGGAGGCTGTTCCCGTATGTCTCTGGGGAGCTCCCCGAGTCACTGTCGGGGTGGGGGGTCTCCGTGGTGTGCCCTGCTGTGTGCATGAGGGTCCCGGGTTGGGGCTCTGCTCCGAGCCCTCAGAGCTCCCTGCAAACCCCCTGGGTGAGGCTAGCGGATGTGGGATGTGGTTTCTCCCCAGGCTCCGTGTACTTGTCAGCCAGCACTCTCCACTTCCTGCTCTTGTTTTAAGAAGCCAGGAGTGGGAGGGGGCCTGGAACTGTGGCCCCAGTTGCTGTGGAACGGGGGTCGCCTGACATGGGCTCAAGATCCCACCCTCGAGGGCCCCCGTCAGATTGCCGCGGATTCCGTGGGGGCTGCGTGCGTGCTGCCCACCCTCCCTCCCTCCCGTCTCCAGCTTCCCCGCCTTCTGCAGCCCCAGCCCCTGGGGAAGCGCTCCTGAGGTCTACACGGGAGACCCAGCACCAGGCTAGTGGACATACAGTGGATGCATGGAGGCAGTGAGGTCCCTTCCCCCCAGCCTGCCCTCTTGTGGGGGGATAGCCCAGTAGGCTAGGCTTGTGAGCAAACTGGGTGTTCTGAGGCCTGGAGTAAGTGCTTGCCGTCCAGGGAGACTGTGTGGGCTTCAGGGTCATTGGTGGCCTTTAGGCTTTGTGACATCTGTCTGCCGTGACCACGCAGAATGCCTGCCTCCCACGGGATCTTCAGTGGGATCCACTGTTCCACTTGATTTATGAGGAAACTAGGCCCGCACAAAGGGACCTCCCTAGAGTTGCAGAGTGGGCAGGCCCAGCTGGGGCCATGATTCTCCGCACCCCCTGCAGTGATGGAAACGCCCCAGGGCTGCTGGGGGGTCTTCCCAGAACCCTCACCCCGTGCCCGGGACCCCAGTGTCTGCCCAGCCTCTAGGCTCAGCCTGTAAAGGCCGGGGCTTTATTGGTCAAGCGCTTAGTTGAAGAGGAGGCTGGTGGGGCCTCAGAGCACTCCTGGGCGGGGGCGTCCGGGCTGGCACCGGGCTGCAGAGGCCAGGCTGGGGATGGGCCCCTAGAGAAGGGCCTTGTCAGCTGCCTCAGACGCACCCAGGGGTCTGTGGGTTGTGCTCTTGATGCAGAGGAGAGCAGGGACTCAGGATGGTCGCTGCACCTCGTAGGCCTCAGTTTCCCCCTCTGTGAAATGGGACTCGCATCAGCATTTCCCTCAGGGGGGTGCATGGGGCTCTCTGGGCGCATGGGACATGCTCCCTTGATGACAGCTATCTGCTCACCAACTGCCCCAGGGCTTGGAGCTGGCATCTCAGGACCTGCAGCTGGGTCCAGGGTCAGAGCAGGAACACTATTGGGGGAAGGTTCTTGGGGGGTTTGGGCATGCCCCCCCGCCCCTCCCAGTCCTTGTGGTTCTCTCTGTATTCCTGTCCAGCTTACCAGGGATTCCTCCTCTCTGGGGCTCAGTAGGAAACAGCCCATGTTCCTGGGCACTGAGCACCCCCATGTGTGAGCACCCCCATGTGTGAGCACCCCCATGTGTGAGCACATGTGTGCCTGTGCAGTCTGAGTGGGTGTGTGTGTGACAGCAGTGATGGTGACAGAAGCCTTCCAGCTCCTTGAGGAGAGGCACATTAGAAAGCGTGATTGTTCTACGCTGTGAGTGCTGCCAGAACTCTGCCAGTCACAGCCCAGGGGCCCAGGGAGCTCCCAGACTCAGAGAGGCTGAGTTACATGCCTGGTGTCATGCAGCTGGTGAGCAGGAACTCCAGCCAGGTGGCCCTGAGCCCATGCCCTGTGCCTGTGCATGTGGGTGTGTACTGGGGTACAAGTCAGTGGATATCCTAGGTGTGTGAAGGCATGAGCATGCTTCTTTGCCTTCACCAAACAGGAGTGCAACACCTGCTGGCTGTCAGCCATTGTCCTGGGGGCACAGTAGGAACACAGATGGCAAATCCTCGCCTTGGTTCGTGGGGGTGGGGGTGGGGGCCGAGAGACAATAAATAAATCCATACCTAATGCCATGGGGTTGGAAGTCTTCACTAATCATTCCCATATCCTCTTCTGTGAAGTTTCTATTAAAATCTTGCCCATTTTCCTACCAGATTATACATCAAAGACATGTTCTGTGTTATCACAACAATGAAATGAATTTTTCCTTTTAAGAAATGCAATGAATGTTAAACCGCCCTTGCATTCCTGCAACAAACTCCACTTGTTAACGATTTTAATATCATTTTTCTTTATCACTAGATTTGATTTGCTGATATTTTGTTTAGGATTTTTGTCTTTATAAGAGACATGCGAAATAATTGGTCTGTAATTTTCCTTTCTTGTAATATCCTCATCAGGTTTTGGTATCAAAGTTACTCTGGTTTCATAAAAAGACGTGGGAAGTGTTCCTTCCTTTTCACGCTCTGGGAGAGCGGGTTCGGTCTTGTTGTTTCTAGTTTTTAAGATCGGTATTATTTTCTCCTTAAGTAACTGGAAGAATTTACTGTCTGTGCCTTCTGAGCGTGAACTATTTGTGCACATATGAAGGTCTTAACTAATGGATTCTATTTCTTTTATAAATCTAAGACAGTAACTTTTTATTTCTTCTTGTGTCAGTTTTAGTAAGTTCTTTCCAAGGAATTTGTATGGCTTCTACATATTGTCACATTTATTGTCATACTATTATTTATTGTCCTCTTAGTATCTTTTTGATGTCTGTAGGGTCTGTAATGAACCCTCTTTTTCATTCCTGGTATTGGCAATTAGTATTTTCTCTCTTTTGTCTTGATCCATCTTGATAGGAGTTTTTAAATCGATGTTACTGTCTTTTTGAAGAATCAATCAACTTTCGGCTTTGTTGGTTCTGTTTATTGTACATTTATTTCCTCTTTCATTAGTTTCTGCTTTTATCTTGATTCTTTTCTTCTACTTCCATTGAATTTAAGTTGCTTTTAAAAAAGAATTCATCTTGAGTTAAGTGCTTGCCGTCCAGGGAGACTGTGTGGGCTTCAGGGTCATTGGTGGCCTTTAGGCTTTGTGACATCTGTCTGCCGTGACCACGCAGAATGCCTGCCTCCCACGGGATCTTCAGTGGGATCCACTGTTCCACTTGATTTATGAGGAAACTAGGCCCGCACAAAGGGACCTCCCTAGAGTTGCAGAGTGGGCAGGCCCAGCTGGGGCCATGATTCTCCGCACCCCCTGCAGTGATGGAAACGCCCCAGGGCTGCTGGGGGGTCTTCCCAGAACCCTCACCCCGTGCCCGGGACCCCAGTGTCTGCCCAGCCTCTAGGCTCAGCCTGTAAAGGCCGGGGCTTTATTGGTCAAGCGCTTAGTTGAAGAGGAGGCTGGTGGGGCCTCAGAGCACTCCTGGGCGGGGGCGTCCGGGCTGGCACCGGGCTGCAGAGGCCAGGCTGGGGATGGGCCCCTAGAGAAGGGCCTTGTCAGCTGCCTCAGACGCACCCAGGGGTCTGTGGGTTGTGCTCTTGATGCAGAGGAGAGCAGGGACTCAGGATGGTCGCTGCACCTCGTAGGCCTCAGTTTCCCCCTCTGTGAAATGGGACTCGCATCAGCATTTCCCTCAGGGGGGTGCATGGGGCTCTCTGGGCGCATGGGACATGCTCCCTTGATGACAGCTATCTGCTCACCAACTGCCCCAGGGCTTGGAGCTGGCATCTCAGGACCTGCAGCTGGGTCCAGGGTCAGAGCAGGAACACTATTGGGGGAAGGTTCTTGGGGGGTTTGGGCATGCCCCCCCGCCCCTCCCAGTCCTTGTGGTTCTCTCTGTATTCCTGTCCAGCTTACCAGGGATTCCTCCTCTCTGGGGCTCAGTAGGAAACAGCCCATGTTCCTGGGCACTGAGCACCCCCATGTGTGAGCACCCCCATGTGTGAGCACCCCCATGTGTGAGCACATGTGTGCCTGTGCAGTCTGAGTGGGTGTGTGTGTGACAGCAGTGATGGTGACAGAAGCCTTCCAGCTCCTTGAGGAGAGGCACATTAGAAAGCGTGATTGTTCTACGCTGTGAGTGCTGCCAGAACTCTGCCAGTCACAGCCCAGGGGCCCAGGGAGCTCCCAGGCTCAGAGAGGCTGAGTTACATGCCTGGTGTCATGCAGCTGGTGAGCAGGAACTCCAGCCAGGTGGCCCTGAGCCCATGCCCTGTGCCTGTGCATGTGGGTGTGTACTGGGGTACAAGTCAGTGGATATCCTAGGTGTGTGAAGGCATGAGCATGCTTCTTTGCCTTCACCAAACAGGAGTGCAACACCTGCTGGCTGTCAGCCATTGTCCTGGGGGCACAGTAGGAACACAGATGGCAAATCCTCGCCTTGGTTCGTGGGGGTGGGGGTGGGGGCCGAGAGACAATAAATAAATCCATACCTAATGCCATGGGGTTGGAAGTCTTCACTAATCATTCCCATATCCTCTTCTGTGAAGTTTCTATTAAAATCTTGCCCATTTTCCTACCAGATTATACATCAAAGACATGTTCTGTGTTATCACAACAATGAAATAAATTTTTCCTTTTAAGAAATGCAATGAATGTTAAACCACCCTTGCATTCCTGCAACAAACTCCACTTGTTAACGATTTTAATATCATTTTTCTTTATCACTAGATTTGATTTGCTGATATTTTGTTTAGGATTTTTGTCTTTATAAGAGACATGCGAAATAATTGGTCTGTAATTTTCCTTTCTTGTAATATCCTCATCAGGTTTTGGTATCAAAGTTACTCTGGTTTCATAAAAAGACGTGGGAAGTGTTCCTTCCTTTTCACGCTCTGGGAGAGCGGGTTCGGTCTTGTTGTTTCTAGTTTTTAAGATCGGTATTATTTTCTCCTTAAGTAACTGGAAGAATTTACTGTCTGTGCCTTCTGAGCGTGAACTATTTGTGCACATATGAAGGTCTTAACTAATGGATTCTATTTCTTTTATAAATCTAAGACAGTAACTTTTTATTTCTTCTTGTGTCAGTTTTAGTAAGTTCTTTCCAAGGAATTTGTATGGCTTCTACATATTGTCACATTTATTGTCATACTATTATTTATTGTCCTCTTAGTATCTTTTTGATGTCTGTAGGGTCTGTAATGAACCCTCTTTTTCATTCCTGGTATTGGCAATTAGTATTTTCTCTCTTTTGTCTTGATCCATCTTGATAGGAGTTTTTAAATCGATGTTACTGTCTTTTTGAAGAATCAATCAACTTTCGGCTTTGTTGGTTCTGTTTATTGTACATTTATTTCCTCTTTCATTAGTTTCTGCTTTTATCTTGATTCTTTTCTTCTACTTCCATTGAATTTAAGTTGCTTTTAAAAAAGAATTCATCTTGAGATATATCTTGGGAAGCACAAATTATAAGGTAGATACATAGTTTATTGATTTTTTTAATGAAAGTATCATTGACATACAATCTTCCGTTGATTTCAAATATATAACACACTCGTTAACAGTCACCCATATTATTAAATCCTCACCCCCTCTAGTGCCGTTGGTATCTATCAGTGTAGCAAGATGTCACAGAATCATTAACTGTATTCTCCGTGCTGTACTGCCATCCCCGTGACCACCGTACATTGTGATTGCAAATTATTGTGCCCCTTTATCCCCTTCCCTCTCCTCCACATCCTCCCCATCCTCTCCCCCGTGGCAACCACAAAAATAGGGAACACTTCACAAATCCGCATGCCGTCCTTGTGCAGGGGCCACGCTGATCGTCTCTGTACCATTCCAATTTCAGTGTATGTGCTGCCAAAGCAAGCATGGGTTATTGATTTTTAAACTCTCTTTTCATCTATGAATTGAAAGCTATAATTTTCCCTCAAAGTTTGACTTAGCTGCATTCCACAAGTTTTTATTGTTATTGTTGCTGTTTTCCCCCTAAATGCTTTTCATTTTGAAAAAAATTTAAACCCACAGAAAAATGAAAAGAATACACATATACCCTTCACTTAGATTCACTAATTGTTGCTATTCTACCTCATTTTCTTTCTCTCTCTTCATATATTTATCTATCCACATTTTGGAAAGTAAGCTACATTCATCATGACATTTTACCCCTAAATTCTTTGGCATACATCTACTAAGAATAAGATAGTTCTCCTATATAACCTTAATTCCATTATCACACTGAAGAAATTAAACGTTGATATGATAATAGTGTCTAGTACCTAGTCCAATTCAAATTTTCCCAATTGAGCCAATAATTCTATCATCTATCTCTATCATCTGTCTCTATCTCTATCTATATCATTTATTATCATCTATGTTCTATCATCTATCTATCTAGTCACCTTTTTAGATCAAGTATCCGATCCATGATTGTCATGTTTCTTTAGTCTTATTTAATCTAGAACAATCCCCTATTTGGAAAAAAAATCAGTTGGGAGATGAATTTCTCTAGCCAGGTTATTTCATCTCAGACAAACAACAGTTTTAAATATAGGCAGTCTTGCTCAGCATTAAAATCACACACATCTATTTGCACATGTATGCGTAAGTCTGAAGCGAAATACACTAAGATTATTAACAATGGTTATATCGGGTTGTGGGATTATGGGTAACTTTTAATATCTTTTCATTACTTTCTATGTATAGTTTTCAATAATACACTGAAGAATAACCTAAACCAGCACCAGCAGAACATGAGCTCCATGAGGCAGGTGCTCAAAAAAAAAAAAATCAGTTAGTCTTCTATGACATTAATGTTTTTAAAGAAGTCATTCCCATTTATCACAGCCTTTCTTCATCACAGTCTTGGTTTGTCTGGTTATTTGCGATCGGATTCCGGTTAAACAGAAGAGAGATGGTGGTCTGTCTGTTCCAGCTCATCAATAAGAGGGAGCAAAATGTTAGGTTCTTACGTTGTGGGGATGCTAGGCTGGCTCACTTCATAACGGTGGTGTCGTCCAGACCTCTCTTGTATAAGGGGTACCATTTTCCCTATTAAAACAGTAACACATGGTTGGATACTTTGAGAACAGGTGAATATTCTTGTCTCAAACAACATCATCCCATGTTTTGGCATCTGTTTTGATCCTTGTCTGAATAAATAAATCTGCGTCTGCAAAAAGGTGATTTCTAAACCTGTAATTTCTTCAACATTTGTGAGTTGACATTTGTCTGTCAAGAGGCCTCCCTCCCCACAACCCAGATATTTTTGAGTATCACTAGTGGCTCATGGGTTGTTTAAATTCAATATATTGAATATTATATTGAATCCACCAACATAATCCATCCTGATTATTTTTGATTCTCGAATTGTCACAAATTAAAGGGAGCCCTTTATGCCAACAACTATGTTCTTTTACATGAATCCAATAGTCTTAGAGAATTTTCTTGACTTCTCAGGCAAAATGTTCTGGAATCTACTTGTATATTCCCTCAGCTAGACCTGAAATCAAGAATTGGTAGACATTGGTATTTAGACACCAAGATCTGGGTGCAGAGAGTGCTCATTGCTACTGGAATGCCATCACTTCTACGTCGTGTCAATGCATAGAACCAGAAATGTTTAAATATCATGAGTCCACACTGATACCTCCAATTCAAATCCGCCACCACAGAGGTCATCTCCGTTTTCTCCATCCCATCCTCGGATGTCTCATCTGCCATGGTGAGAGAAATTCTCAACAGTGTCAAAATAGGTGGTGACTTCCACTATCCCCAAATATTCACAAAACAGTTCCAGAATTGCTCCCACAGTACTGCTATGAACAACAAATCTACTAAGTAAAACTCAAGATGTCTTTGCAGGGTTTTCATTTTGGTTTTGTTACGGTTTGTCCTTAGGATATATCCCACAAAAGATGTCCAGTAAATTAAATTCTTTTTCCTGGGAGGTCATGGTATCAGTTCACTATGCAATTAGCTTAGTTTTTTCAACTTGTATTCAATTTAGAGTTTTATTTTTTTCCTTTTTCTTTTAATTTTATTTTTGAATTCAAGTCAAAACTTGAATATATAAAAAAGTACTCAAAGGCCTCCCTCTCATTCTACAGAAAATCATTTTCATTTGTTTCTGATTAATTTTTTCCTGTGTCTTTTTTCATTTTAAAATGTATGTATCTCTCCCCTTTATTTTCCTCCCCCACTTTATTTCTTATTTAGTAATTATTTCTGGGTTTCTTTGTGCAAAACAAGCAAATACATCACTTATTTTCTCTTCTTGGTATAGCTCTTTAGATCAAGAAAGGCTTGCATTTTTATTCTAATGATTATATTTATGTTAATATCTTTATTATGTTATATAGTATGTATATGTATGTACAATATGTACACATACATACAATATGTAAGTACAATATTAGATGTATAAGATACTGTACTCTTACTTTTTACTTTTATGGGATATTCTCTGTTGGCTCCTGTGGTGGTTGAATTTATATGTTAACTTGGCTATGTTGTGGGGTCCAGTTGTTTGGTTAAAAAATAGTCTCCATGTTGCTGTGAAGGTATTTTGTAGATGTGATTAACATTTACAATCAATCAACGTTTAGTAAAAGACATTATTCTCCAAAATGTGGGTGGGCCACACCCAATCAGTGGAGGGCCTAAAGAGCAAAACTGAGGTTTTCTGGAGAAGAAAGGACTCTGCCTCAAGATGATACATTAGAAATCCTGCCTGAGTTTCCAGTGCACTGGCCGGCCCTATAGATTTTGAACTTGGCAGCCTCCACAATAACATGAGATGATGCCTCACAATAAAAATCTCTCCGTGTCTAACCTATCGGTTCTGTTTCTCCGAGAACCCTGACCGATAGTTTCCTACTACAAGTAATGCCGACACTATCCGGCAGCCCCCTCTTCCTTCTGCCTTCCCCTCTCCCCGTGTGCGACCCAATGGGGTGTCATTTTACTCCCAGTTAATACGTATCACTCAATGGGCTTATTCTATTTCTCATATTTTCTCTCCATTCTCACCCCACCACCTCTTTTTACCCACATGACAGGCTCCACAGACCATAATAGTATTAGGAGTTTCCACCATTTTTCCAGTAAATTCTGCCTCTTCCCAGCAGATGATTTTCTGTCCACACAGCTAGTAAAAGGAAAATTTCTGCTGGTCCACGGGATGATCCTTAACATCCAAATTTGATGTGCAGTAACAGGCATCATTTACTTTTATCAGTACTGGGGCCCATAAAACCAAAGAGTGTTTTGTTTTTGTGTGTTTGTTTGCTTTTGTCATCTGGCTTGACCATAAGTAAAAGACAACAGCTGTGTCCTCGGAACAATATGCTCACCCCATTTGTAATGGTTGTACTGTACCTACATTTTCAGAACAGTGACCATAACGTTTCTGCACTATTTCCATTATAACCTTCACTTTTGGACTTTGTTCCACAGGTAAGTATAATTTTAATTCTTACTCCCACTCATGTCAATGTCTTTCCAGTTATTTTGATTGTCTGAAGTTTGTTTTTTATTGGATTCCTCAGGAAGTGTTTGTGGGGAAGATATTGATAGCTTTGTGGCCATTGTAGGTGAAGGTCAGTTTAGCTGCATATAAAATCCTTGGCTCACATTTTCTTCCCTTGAATATATTGATGATAACATTCCATTGTCCCTGGCATGAAACACTGATGTTGAAGTCTGATGACAATCTTCTTATTGAAGTCCAGTAGGCTTATTAGATTATGTCTCAGTATTGGCTGCTCTGAATTAATTTTCCCATGCAGTGGAATGCCCTTTCAATACAGAGTAAGTTTTTTTTTAATCAGAAAAATTATCTTGAGTTGTAGTTTTTCTTTATTATTCTATCCCAAAAATTTGGCTTTCCTCTTTGGGATTCTTATTTATTCGATCTTCTTTGCCTAACTTCTATATCTGCATTTTAAAAATCTCTTTCTTCATTTCTTTTTGATTAAAAATAAGTTCCCCCCTTTCATCTAATCTTTCTTTTAAGGAATCTCTGTAGGTATTTTTTCTGTGTTTATCCTTGGTTAGCCTTCATTTCTGGGAATTTTTTCCTTTATATTTCATTCTTCCCTGAGTTCTGTAATTTCATTTTTAAGTCTTCATTTTCTCCAGTTATTTCACTTTTTTTTTTTTTTTTGCAGTTTTTCTAATTCTGATGTAGGCTGTTGTTTCATAGCTTTTCTAATACTTGCAATTTATTCTAGCACATTTTGAAATATCAAGCTGCAGTTTACATCAGCTTTGTGGGCTTGTCTTTCTGGCACGCCTCTGTGGGACATTATTCTGCTCTTTAAAATCTGTTTTTTCCCTTATAACAACTCTAAATAGGGTGTGATTTCGACGTATTTTATTGTTCACGTTTAAGCAAGATGATTTTTCCTGTACTTTTAGGATGGACGGTGGGTCAAAATAGCTTTTATCGCTTCATGGCTCTTGGGTTCCTTCCACTGGTTTTATAAAATTATTTTAAAAATATACATGGTCTCCTATTTTCTGATATTTGTCCTCTCTTTCCTTTGCCTCTGTTGTTGCTGTCTTGTTCAATTCTAGAAACTTCTTGTCAGTGCAGGGCTCTGCCCTGAAGGAGAGCATTGCTCCTCTCCTTCCGAGAGTCCTCAGCATCCAGAACTCCTCAGCCTTCCCTGGGCCGCCGTCTATCCCCACACGCTGGAGACGCCAGACAGTCCTTGAGACTCGTCTGAGCGAAGGTTTCCAGGCCGACGGGCCTTCCAGGCGCCCCCGTGAGACCTGCAGCGGGAGTGGGCGGCCCCCAGAGCTGCTGCCTCCCCTCCCCTTCCTCCCGCACGGATCTGATGCCCCCACAGGGTTCGCTGTAGGGTATTTTCACGACACTTCGTTCAAAATACTTTCTAATTTCCACTGTAATGTTTTCTTTGTTTCGTGGATTTTTTTGTAATGGTTTTCTTGATTTCCAAATATATAGGAATTTTCTAATTAACTTCGATGATTTCCTTCTTTGAAACTTGTTGAGACGTGCTTTAAGGTCCAGCAAAAGATCAATGTTTATAAGTCTCTATGTGCTCTTGAGGAGGGTGTGTATTCAGCTGCGTGACTGTTGAGTACAGTGTTCCCTAAATGCCGCTTTGGTCCATTTATTCTAGTGATGCCACTCAAGTAGTCTGTAGCGTCATCCATTTTTTTCCTCCTTATTCTATCAGTTACTGAGAGAAGTGCATTGAAGTCTCCCAGTATATATATTTGTCTATTTCTTCTTTTTGTTTTGCCAATTTTTGCTTTGTATATTTTAAATCTGTTAAGTGATCACACATTCAGATTTTTGTATCTTCCTGTTGCTCTGGGCTTTGCATAATAATGCTCATTATTGCTAATAACACTTTTTTTTTCTTAAAGCCCACTTAGTCTGAAATTAATATAGTTATACAAGCTTGGTTGGTGTTTGCATGAAATCTTCGTTTTGTCATTTTTATCCCTATGTCTCTTAACCTATTTCTATATATTCCATTCTTTCTTCTCTCTGTGCTTAAATTTGGATATTCTGTATGGAATTCATCTTTTTAAAAAATTTGCATCTAATCTGTTGTTAATCTGCTGTCAGCACAGAGCTGCTAATTCCATGTTCTAGATCTGCCAGTTCTCCTGAATTTATCTTGCCTTTTAGATCCTTGAACGTAGTTATTTAAAATCTGTGGTCTGACAATTTCATAATCTAGACATCCTATGGGTCTTTTTCTTCACTGTCTGTGATTTCTCTTGGGGTTTGTTTATGCTGTCTCAATTCCTAGTTTGCTTGTTTTTAAATTAGCACTGGAGAGTGTGTTTGAGAATTGTTAAAAAATAATTTTTAGAAAGAATTTGAGGCCTAGGCTACCAACATTCTGGGATCACCTTAATCCAATTTGATAATAGATTATTTGAAACTGGGCCACTGTTTCAAATCTGGGTGTAAGATGAATCCTAACTGCAGGACTGGCTGGTGAATGGGATATGGGCTGAAAGAACTTGACTGATCAAGGATGCTTTAAAGTTTACGGACCAAGCAAAGCGGTGGATGGTTGTGTTCTTTTCTAAGACAATGAGGACCAGGAGAGGAGCTGCTCTGGGGCAGAGGCGGGAGGGAAGTAAAAAGCACAGTTTATAAGAAATTCAGGTGGCCAGCAGGCACATGAAAAGATGCTCCACATCACTAGTCATCAGAGAAAAGCAAATTAAAACCACAACGAGATATCACCTCACACCAGTAAGGATGGCCACCATCCAGAAGACAAACAACAACAAATGTTGGTGAGGTTGTGGAGAAAGGGGAACCCTCCTACACTGTTGGTGGGAATGTAAACTAGTTCAACCATTGTGGAAAGCAGTATGGAGGTTCCTCAAAAAACCAAACAGAAATACCATTTGACCTGGGAATTCCA